AGTTGCCAGTTGTACTAGAAATTACGCAATGATTCGTGTTGATGTAGGGACAATACAAGCGGATACTTTCACCGTTTCACTAGAGAACTTGCCTTTACCAGGAGAGATACGTGAAGCCCGAGCTGTACAAGCATCATCGGCTGTTACAGTTGACTGGCAGCCCAGTGATGAGGGCAGGATTGTTTTACCTGAAGCTTTTTCGGGGATAGATGGCATTACGAATCTTGATCAAAGTTTAGAAAAATGTAGTGATAGTCAAGTGCAAGAAACTGCTATTCCTGATGTATCGTCTAATACTGCAGAATTAGAAAAGCTAAGTCGCAAGTCAGAAGATTTCGCTTCATCCGATTTGTTAAAAGAGTCTTTTATATCGACTTATTCGATATCCTGTAATCCGATTGTGAAGACTGATGCAAGAGGCATCGTTGAAGTTACGTTACTTCCAGAAGTTGGCGAATGCAGTTCATCTACCCTAGCAGAAGATGACGGACAGCAAGCTCTTACTGTTACTGATGCGTCGTCGAGTACAAAAATATTGCCGTCTGTTGTTACATGCTGGCCTCGGAGTAAGGGTCCGGATGCTGACACCCGCTATTCATTTAATCCTTTACCTACCATTGGTGAACATGACACTTCTGATGAAGAGTTCACCGATGGTTCCATCGGATCCGAGACACCAAACTCTGACTTATCGCCAGACGTGTTCGAGGAAATGCCTTTTGATTTCCCAGCAGCGAAACATTCATTATCTCCGGTTAGTGAAACTGGAGAAACGTCATCAGTTTGCTATAGGGAAAGTGAAACTTGCCTTCTTGTAGATATCTTGAGTGAAATCCAGAAGGATTGGTCTGACCAGCCTGAATATTCTTCAGAAAATACAAGACTGTGTCCCACATTCTCAGCGCTGCCTGCTGCCGATCGTTTAGATACTGTGTTCAACAATGATCCAAATAGGGGAAATGTAGCACAAGTTATGGACATGGAAGATTTGTCCTTTATTGAAATCACACCACCAACTGCTGTAGAACTATCTGGCGTCGCAGGACTATATGATGTCAACACACCAACCGAAGTCGCCGCGCTACCAGAAGTAACTACAACACCCGGAGTCAACGCACCAATCAGAGTGGCCGCACTACCGGAAGTCGCTGTAGAACCCGAAGTCACTGTAACACCCGGAGTCAACGCACCATCCGAAGTGGCCGGCCCACCAAAAGTCTCTGCGACGCCCGAAGTCGCCGCATCAACCGAAGTCGCCGCTCCACCCGAAGTCGCTGAAGCACCCAAAGACGCTGTAGCGCCCGAAGTCGCAATAACACCCAAATTCACACCAGCACCCGAAGTCACTGGAACACCCGGAGTCAACGCACCATCTGAAGAGGTTGCTCCAACCGAAGTTGCTGTAGCACCCGAAGACGCTGTAGCGCCTGAAGTTGCTGAAGCACTAGAAGTCGCTGATTCAGCTGCGACAATGATGGGTCCATTGTCCTATCAAGATGAAACATCGCCTGTTCCACCTGTAACGTCTTGTGTAACGTGTGATTTCTCTGCCGAACATGACTTGCATTCAACTGGAAAATATAATGTAACTACTGATGTCCCTCCTTCTCATTTCGAACTCCCTGTAACTAATGAAGGATATCCGATATCTAGGATCATGCAGCCCCCTGAAGCTTTAAAAAGCCCTGGTTTACTAATACAGCTGCTGAGATCAAGCCCATGCTCCTCCCTTGAGAATCAGCAGCCTGCGCATTCGACTAAACAATGGGACGTTTCAAGCCCAATTTTGGATGTTCCGAACGACGGTGAATTTTTTGACGTTCCGTTAATTCCTGATTCCGGTAGAAGGCCAGTTCAAGAAAAGAATCCAATCACTTTCCAGGAGGTGCGTCCAAAATACTCATTGCCAAGCTTGAGTTCTATTCATGACAACAGTCTATACCATATGGAAAATTCCATCTTTGATTCCTTCGACTCTTTGTTATGTCTACAAAATTCACATAGAGATTCAAATTGTCACCCTTGTGATCCTGTTGCATCTGAATTTATACCTACCACTAACGAACCCATCTCTCTTGACCATCTCTTAGATATTCCTGCAATTGGAGTACTTGACCGGTCAAAATCTCAAGCAATTGGAAACGAGATTAACCGAACAACTGAGCCTTTTTCTTTGCCTCCCGAGATACGCGATGCTGTGCAGTTTGCTCATGTTCAAACTGAGCACGTGCCCATGGAGCACCTGGAAGAGTTAGTGGATCCTCAGCACAATATCACCGATTTGTGCTGCAATCAGTTCCTAGTAGGAACAATGGACATGACTCCTGTTGTGAGCGGCACTCTGAGAGATGAAGATCATTCTAAATTCATTTGGAGAACAAGCGAAAGTCCATCGTCCTCGACATCGTCTTTCATGGCCGAGATCGTGTCTGAAGAAAGAGATAAAAATAGCTCATATTTGCCAAAAATCGACTCTAAAATCAAAGTGGTCACCATAAACGTGCAGAAGGATGACGGGCTAGAGAAGGCATTCGATTGGATTAGGACGAGTTTCAAGCCCGATGAACCGAGCAACGAAGGTATTAATGACAGTGATCTAGATGATATCCCAATATGTTCTTTGGCTGAAGAGGAGATGCTGAGAGCGATTATGTATGCGTCATCGAACGAGTCAGTACAGGAATTCGTTACGACCTTTGTCATGAATGAAAACGAATGTTATTTGCCAGAACGAATCCAGTGCCAGTGGAAAATAATTGATTACTACTTGAAGCATACCGGTGCATTAGCACCTGAAACCATCCTGGAGAAAGAAGAAGATTTGAATGCTCACTATGCGTGTCTGCCCTCTTGGAGCATCGTTGCGGAAAATAATTTTTCCATCGCCAAACAAAAGCCTCTAGCGCCAATCTGTACTAGTTTAACGACGGATTCGCACGCCGTAACTATTAAGCCTCCATTAAACGCACGTAAAAATCAGACTTCTATCACTTCCTTGAGTAACCGGGATCAGATTTCAAAAGCTCGAGGGAAGCCTTCTAATTCGACTGATAATCGTTTAGCAAGCAGTCGGCAGTATCCAGTGACTGGAAAACCACCAGTGCCAACTAAGAAGACTGGTAAAGTTCTTCCATTGATCCGCCACCAAGAGTGCTCGACAAATGCTTCTTCTCTTCAAAACGTTCCGTCAAGTACCCAGGGTCGCTCAGAACTGTCGGCTACCGTCAACCGTCGAGGGGCGAGACGAAGAGACTTGGGTCGTCCGTCCTCCGCCGGGCACTCTGGACATCGTAGCTTCTCGTGTTCCGGTCCTGATGTTATTGATGAAATTGAAGAGATGGAAATTCAGCCAATAAATCCAGAGCTTCGAAAATGGGCATCTTACAGTGATAGTTTAGCGGCCGAAGCTTTGGCTATCAACACCGAAGCTGTTCTCGATTACTGGGCTGATATTTTGAAAGCCAAGCGGGCGCATTTTGGAATCCCTACTATTGGTAGCTTTGGTACCACTGTTGAAAATCTACTTGAAAGCGATCGCGATCCTACGCTTAGCTGTCCATCTCAAAGCTACGAAATGTGGTGTAGAAATTTCAGGTCTTCTTTGACTAACTCATTAAAATCGTCTTCGTTGCCAGCGAGACCCACTTTCAGAAGAGAAAAATCTTTCACTTCATTCTCCACTCCAGTTGCACCAATCATTCGACCTCAATTCAGACGAGAGAAAACTTTTTCATCGCTAAAAGCTACAAAGGATCAGAATTTACTGGTGCTTAAACGCGCACCTGTTGATAAAAGCACGAAAGACTGCAAAACTGGGCAATTTTTCGGAAATGAAAAAGTGTGTCCATCTGCATGTATCGTCTTGGGGGCTGAACCAACGCCCCTTTATACCGCTAAAACGTCAGAAGTTTTTATTTCATCCATTACTCGTCTCCAGCGGATGCTGCGGCCCGGCAGGTTGTTTGAGGATGTGAAAGAAGACTATCAGAAAATGTGTTCCTTAAAATTAGATCTGCTTGCTTCGAATGCAGCTACTCAATTTAGTCCATTGGAGCAGACGGTTGCTGATGGTCCTATTTTTCATGGAATTCCGGATAATGACGAATGTTTCTTCATACAGTCTTCGCAGGAATCAATTGAATGTAATGTTACAGATCGTTGTGACGAAGCTGCTGACCCGGACTTCTTGGAGAATCTTGAGGAAATGTCAGGCGATGAGGACTTTTATGAGGATCTTGTCCATCCTGACGTGACATGTTGCGATGTGGAGACGTTAGTCCAATGTCCAACTGATATTTATACGCCCTGTGCCATTGAGAATTCAAAGGGAGTGTCGGTGGCGACTCAGTCGTCTGAGATAGGGAAAAATTTTAAGTATTTTTCTGACCGTTCTCGGAAATTCATGCGGGAAATTCGTGCAACTAGCAGAGAGTTGTACAAGTACATATTCCAAGGACAAAAATTTCCCGGTACTACGTCGCACGATTCTTCGGATAACCCCACTGTTACCAACTCAAACGATCCAAAGGTTCTTACTCGGAAAGTGAACCCACCCAATAGTCATGTGCGTGCTAACTCTCCATCGACATCAGTCTCTTCCAAGGCGAGTATCGCTTCAAAAAAGAGCACAGAATCAAACGTGAGCGTCTCTTCCAAAGTGAGTGCCGATGCAAAGAAGAGTATTGCGTTAAAATTGAATTTGTCGTCGAAAATTGGTAGTGAACCTCAGGGGAATTCATCGGCGAAGTCTAGTTCTTCTATCAATAAGCTTCTGCCGAGCGCTAGAATAATTTCTGAAAAGAGCTGTGAAAAAACTGATAAAGGCACACAAAGTACGAAATGTCCTCAAAATCCCAATACAATTTCTGCGAGATGTGTTGCTCGGGAAGAAGATATTGCTTCTTCATCTGTAGCTAAACCCCACGATCATTCTAAAGATTCCGAACAGAAAACGCCTGTTAAAAAGTTAACTGCTTCAAATTTTCCTCGTGTAAAGGAAAGTACCAAGCGTGAAAATGTTTTCCCGAATGCGAACATGTCTCGAGTGCCTTTAAAATCCACCGGAACCAAAACTTCACCTTCTCGGGCTTCGTTGTCCACTTCATCAAGACGTGACCTCAAAGTAGCGGCCGCGTCCGAACCTCCTTCATCAGATACGTGTTCTAAGCTGCCCTCAGCGTCTGACAAGAAGCTCCCATTGATTAAATCAGTGAAATTAGACACACCAGATACGCAACGACCTTACCGTAGTTCTGGGGAAACCCTACTCAGCTCACCGAAACCTAACTCAAAAGCTCCTGTCGCCAAAAAAAAACTTCGGTGAATCTTGAGCCATCCCGTTCCGACAATTCGACATCTGCAGGGGCCAAAACAGTTCTACTAAAGAAGGGAGAAATGTTGAGCTCTCTCTGGTCTAGAAAATTTCCACCTTCCCTCGATTGTTCGTACATGCAAAACGCAAAGGATCAGCACGATGATGACAAAAGATTCGTCGCAGACCAACATCAAGATAATGTTGCAAATAATGAAATTTTTTTCCATGCTCTTAGCTCAGGTGAAAGGCTTAGCCTGGTAACTTCATGCCATGATAGTTCTAATATATCTGATGGGGATTCACGTAAACCATTAATGACAAATGAATCTTCGCAGATCTGTTCTTCTACGCCGAAACCAAAGGGAGAGAGCTCAACTTTAGAGTCTGCTGCTGATGAAGTTGTTCCTATGAGATTTTCTGCTGTTCCGGTGGTTCGAGATATTCATGGAGAAGAATTAGGTAAGGAGTCGGAAGCTGACAATTCGAAGGTTGTGGTATCTAACGATCCTGGAAACCCTAGTCCACCATTGGACCAAAGACTTGGGGGCTGTGATGTTTATTTTGATCAATCAACATCCCTGTGCGGAGTAAAAACTAGCCTGAGCAATAAATCAACGATGAATGGTCTTTCCTCTCGCGAAAAAGAAGGAGCTGGTCTTAGCCAAATTAATTTGCATGAAGAGAGGCACGGAACTCCAGGCGCCAACGAGACGCTTCTGTGTGACGACGTCTTCGTCGCAAATGTGGCTGAAGAACAAGTAGAAGATACAGAGTTTGTTGGTGCTAACACTTTTTATGTGACGTCATCTAATTTGCCTACACTTGACAGCGTTAGGAATGAAGTGTCATCAAATGAGGTTCTTGATGTTGAACCTCTTCCCAAACCAGAGGAAGATATTGAACTTGTCACTAAATCACAGGAATATATTATGCCCCACATCAAAACAGAGCACGATATTGAACATATTCCTAAACCAAAGGAAGATATTGAGCCCTGTACCCAACCAAAGGAGGATATTAAAACTCTCATGAAATCTAAGGAAGATATTGAACCCCTTATCGAACCAGCACGAAATATTGAACCCCTTAACAAGCCCGAGGAAGATATTGAACCTCTAACTGAATCAGAGGAAGCTGGCGAGAGTGCGTGCTTGCATGAAGAAGAGAATGTTACTGTAGCCTCAACTGAAGAAAGTTGGACGCAACATCCATTAGGTCGGTGCTCGACATCCCCGAATGTGGCTGTATCGGGCGTTCTTGAAGTTGATTTGGCTAAGTTCAATGAATCGGCGCTGGTGATTCATTCACTGGATGGTGAACTTTCCAAGAAAAACGACTTTTATGAAGAAAAAAAGTCTTTGTGTGGTAGTGAAGTTGTAGACGAAGGGTTTTGTGCTAGCCAGAGCATTCAAGAGTCCGAAAAATTTCCATTAAGTGTGTCTAAGGATGTCGTTCGTGATATCGATGAAAGTAAAGTTCAGTGTGTTCGTAAAATGTTCGATGAGAAGCAGATTTTGGGCGATGACAATTCAAGTCAATCAACAGACGACCAAAGTGTTCCAACTACAGTATTGTCGGCTCGAAACTCAACCAGTCAAAGTCTCGTGGATATTGAACAATCAGAATCAGTTCCCATTAAAACGACAATATCCTCTGAAGATTTACATGCTATCAGCAAGTGCAATGCAATGGCAAATGACTCTGCAACTTTCGTTGAAGCTTCGGATGAATTAGATGTAAATTATGTTTTAACCGCTGAAAATATGTCACTTAGAAATACAAATATAGCGTACGATACTTTGGAGATTGCTCGAAACATTAGCAAGGATTTGATCTCAACTGACGACCCAACTACTGAAGGAGGAACATGTAAAGATATGGACGTGAACTGCGAAGAGTCCACATTGGAATCGTATATATCAAGTGAATCAACTGGAGTGGATAGTTGGATGCGGAAATCGGGAAGTTGTGAGACGGACTTGTCAAGCTCGGCCATTGCAGACTCTGTGCTTAAAACGTGCCCTGAGATTGGCGTTTCAACCGATGTTATTGGATCTCTCACCCCCAGTCCTCAAGTAATAGATCTCATACCCACGAACGCGAACGTAAAGCACAAAATGGTACCATTAAATTCTAATAATTCAACTTCAGATAAATTTATCAAAATTGTTCCCAGCGAAAAGCTATCTGTGGATGATACGCCGTTGAGCCCTAAACTGAAGGGTTCAATTTCACCTTCTTCTGAAGATATAATTGACCCTCAAACGTCAGCAAAGAAATTAGAAGAAGGAACAGTGAATGATAAAACAATTGCTAGCAACTCAGTTGTTGATTATGAAAATCCTCCAACGTTCAGCTCCGTAAACCCACACGCGCAACTAAAAACGTTAAATTTTAACAAAGAAGTACATTCAACGTTCCTTTCTTCATCGGTTAACCAGAATGTGATAGACACGACAAAAATTAATCTCGAACGCATTGCAAGTTCATTTGCATCGACGTCATCAAACCAAACTACTCCAAACTTACTCGAACCTATTGACGAGCCTATAACATCGTCACTTAACCAGGAGATGATAGACGAAGCTCTTCGTCTGTGTTGTGACCGCGACGAGGCTGAAGAAGAAGCTTGCGTGTGGCGCTTCGTCGAGATCGCTGGTCTCGACCTCGTCAACGAACCCGACGATGCAGTCTCGGCCGTACACTGGCTCTTCTCGCAGGTGCCTACGCGTGCGCTCTCAACCTATCCCACCAGACATCTGACGTTGAAATAACGTCCCGTAAAAGTTATTTCAACGAAATTAGTTTTGTAATCAACGTTGTTTCTACGTCATTTGCCTGGCAGCTGACGATGAAATAACGTTGATTCATCATTGTTTCAACGAAATCGATTCGTAATCAACGTAGGTTCAACGTCATTTGCCTGGCAGCTGACCATGAAATACCTAACGTTGATTCATCGTTGTTTCAACGAAATCGATTCGTAATCAACGTAGGTTCAACGTCATTTGCCTGGCAGCTGACGATGAAATAACGTTGATTCATCATTATTTCAACAATATGGATTCGTTGTCAACGTAGGTTCAACGTCATTTGCCTCGTGGGTACCTGCTTATAACATCTTCAGTCATAGCCGTTCGTGTGTCCACTCATCCCCTTAACCAGCTACTTAGATACACCTGGTAATAAATTGATTGACTATAATTTATTCAAGCACCTTTGCAACGGAAAGCTGTGTTTTGCTGCGTGGCCAATATCCACTATAGCCCCCGCAGCTCTCGTGATTTACTAAGAGAACTAAGCTGAACCTGCGTGTCTGTTTGCTCGAATTGTTTCAACTACTCAACCTTCTCGAGCTAAATATAAAAGAGCTTGAATGAAAGCTAAGTATAAAAGAGTTTAAATACAAGAGTTGAAGAGTGTTTAGCTTTCTTCGTGATTGATTATCGCTACCAAATAGTTGTAATATTTCATTCTTTTTTTTTTATCAGAATTCAGAGATATAACCGGTGTATTGATAGAAAAAATCTATTACAAAATGCAAGAATATGTTAAAGTTCAAATATATTTTGCCGATTGTTTGTGTTTGACTAACCCGTCGTCACAATTTAGTCACGTAATGTTTTGTTAGTAAAGTTAGTGTGGGTTTTCGGCTTGGACGTTCACTAGCAGCCGAGCTATATATGTTCGCGTCGTAGTTTCGCACGTTTTCGCTATGGAACAATTTCATATGTTTTTGGCGTTTTTTTCTATAAATTAAGATGGTTCATTCCTAAGCGAGCCTTGTATGCTTGGTATAGTCTTGTTTTGTTTTATTACCTATTACTCAGCTTTTTCATGCATTCTCAAACCTAGCTTTCGGTTATTTTGCTTATACGTTGTGTGTGGATAATATTGTTAATAACAATATTGATAATAATAATATATTGTTAATAATAATACGTTGTGTGTGAATGTTAATTTTAGTACCGCAGAGAAGCCGCCGTAAGCTCGGCTTCGCTGCTCCGCAATCTAATTCGTAGAAATGTTTCGCATGTTTATCAATTCATTTGTATGAAAAATTTAGAGAATTTTAGAGAATTACTCTTCGAATTACTGGCCTCGAGTTTAATTTTCTTCATTTAATAACTGTCTTAGTTCGGAAATACTCTTTTGCATTAGTTCTCGCTTTTTAATTGCATGTAATTAGTAAATTTGAAATGAAACACTCTTCTTATAAATGATCAAATAAGTTCACTAGTATTAATTTTACCGAATATGAATTATATCCTCTATAAAAAATCTAGAACTGTACTCACAAAGCATACGTTTTCTTGTACGTGTTTATTAACAAGTCAATTTATTTTGATTATGTTAATCCATTATTATTAGTAGCAAGCCAATTTATTGTGATTATTATTAATCCATTATTATTATTGTGATTATTATTAATTATTATTAATCCATTACTATTAGTATTGATGTTAATGCATGAATTATTACATAATATTTTGTTGTTTAGAGTCGCGGGAGCTGTCGACACGAGGAGCTGAAGGAGCGAGCGCGGGAGCTGCTAGAAGCCGCGCGACGAGACGCTGCTCTGCAGACTAAAGCTGGTCTGCAGACTGCGCTCACGCAGGTAACTGCGGCCTGCAGACTGCGCTCACGCTGGTAACTGCGGTCTGCAGACTGCGCTCACGCAGGTAACTGAGTGATACATCACTAATGCATCACATCACATGAGGTATTAGTGTTGGGGCAGGTATAGCATCATGCATCACATGCGGTATTAATGTTGGGTGATAGTAGCATCGCTCATCCATAGGATTGTATATACATATACTGCTATGAACCATTCAATATTCCAATTGAATCAACTTTGCTTAAACCAAGAAAATAATTCTATTGTTGCCGTGATTGTAATCTCATAGGTTATATTTAATTCAATCGTACAGTCCTGAACATTACAGTTGTCTGTACGAACTATTCTTGTATGAACATCATGTAACATAAACAAATAATAGATGAACAATTCATGAATTAACTTTTCTGAATAACAATTCCTGCCTATCTGATAACAAAATGTTTGATTCCCCCAGGCGACTTGGTACCTCGGCAGTCAAAAGGCAGCGACTTCTCGCCTGTGAGTGCATTTCTCTGATCTCTCTTGACTCCAACAATTTATTTTTCTTTTACTATGGATGAGGAAATAACAAACACAAACTCGCTCTAGGTTTGTATTATTGTTTAATATTATATAATAATAATTGTAACTCGACAAGATTCATTTTAATCTTACCAGTATAACTGAAATCAACGGAAATCTTGACTAAAATTACAAGGTCAATACGCTGACTTGAATGCCTCTATCCACGCAGCATTTTATCCGTTGGGCTGCTGAAGCAAGATCAGTTTTCTACTTGAGTTTGTATCATCAATTGGTCGATAAAAATACATTGTGTACCACGCTGATGCACGATCTCTTGGATTTGAAATCGCATGCTTCAGATTTTGATTTTTCGAATTAAGGATCGAAGCTTGGCCCAGACTCTTGAAAAACCGCGGACTCTTAAAAAAAATCTTTACTAATACAATTGGATAATTGATTATTGAAACTAATTCGTCAAGTCGTCAAACTGAGCTCTTGATTTGATCAGATTCTTTAGAAATTTAGAAATTCTTGATCATTGATTCTTTAGTCGCTACATATGAAACGCTAATGCATGAAAATTTGCTTAACCAAACATGAAACTTTCAAACAAGATCATCCAAAATTAAGTTAATTGAGTGCTGTTTTCCAGGAAAATGAGAGCATCATTGTCGGCCGGACTTCTAGCGCATCCTTCCATCCACTCAAACACCGCACCACTTCCACCTCATCCTCGAATAGCTCTACTCCTACAAATGCCGTGCCAGATAACAACAAATCCTCTTCAGCCTCAGACGAGCACAGATTCAGGCATGCTTCAGCTTCAGAAACCAGCGAGCACACGTCTGAAGCCATGAAGCAAGAGCCCTCTGAAACGTCCACGCTTCAATGGACCAGCGCGCGGCCGACACAACTTCAGTCCTTCAGCAACATCATCGAACGCATCAGCCCTGAGAAAGAGCAAGCCGTTCGATCAAATTCTGTTGAAAAGGTTCTTGCATTTGGAGGAAACTTTCTTAATGGTTGTAATTAATGCAAACAAATTTATTTGTTCATCATTACCATGGTCCTACGTTTATGTTGCACGGGTCTAATCTGATTTTCAAATTGTGTACATTTTTCCATGTACAATAAAAACTCTACCAGGACTTATTTTATGTGCAATAAATTAGTTATGAGTTGGTCACTCCAATTTAAAAGGACCTAGGGTGGATTTTATGTATAATATTTTTGAAGTACTTTTCTAAAATTTCTAATAGTTACCATGATGCAGAAATTTATTCTACACATTAAGGTTCAAGGCTTCTTAGCTTCTCGATGGTGCCTAAAAATGATTTGTATTCATAGAATAATTAGCAGGTTCCAATCAGCTTAACTGTAGAACATATATCGTTAACATTAAATAAAAATCTTTACTTAGACTGCTGGAGGATTGGAGATTGTTCTTGTGAATCCTCCAAGTTTCTTATATCTAGAAGCATACGATTAATGTATCGGTTGACGTAGCCTTCTATATGTACCGAACCGTTCAGAACGTTGGTTGTATAAATATTATATAATATTTAGTATAAATCATTAAATATTATATATTATAAAGGACATGTGGCCAGTATTAACTGTCCCTCTGACGTTGTTTTCGGTTTTGTGGACCAGCAGCTTGAGGCGGCTTCAGAAGTCCCTTATTGAATATGTTTGTACCAGCAATGTGTGTGTCTGTAGTATCTGTCAGCAATGTTTTAGGTAAAATTAGGTATACCACGATTGCATATGCCAGCAATACTCGTCACCATAACATTGTAGTCACTTCAGACGGGCAGCGGTGGTCGGAGAGGGAAGTGAGTCAGTAACTAACGGGGGGCTGGCTGGTATTATCTACAAGACGTGTGTTATTTAGTTAGCAGTATTTCAGTATTTAAATTATCATACATGTTTTAGACAGACATCATCAGACACTTTTACCTTATCTATAGGACTTGCATTATTTAGTTCGCATTATTTTTCTAGTAATGTTCATGTCACCTATGTTATCAGCCAGCAATGTTGTTCTCCAATAACATTTGGTGTGACCACAGACGGGGAGCGTGGGACGGGGGGAGGCGAGCCAGTACCTGGTGGGGGAGCTGGCGGCGCTGGAGCGCGAGCAGCAGCAGATCGACGCACAGGCCGCCAAGCTCGAGAAGAGGCTACGCAGGGTCATGGAGGCTGGTGAGGCTACGCAGGGTCATGGAGGCTGGTGAGGCTACGCAGGGTCATGGAGGCTGGTGAGGCTCAACCTTGTGAGGCTAAATGAGGAGAATCATTGTTGGTTACATGGGCTAGAGAGGCTTACGAGGACTTCGAGGATAGTGAGGCTGAACCTCGTGAGGCTGAACGATTGGAATCATTGTAGTTTGCGAGGGATATTGAGAGACCCATCTGCCTAAAATGAGCTTGGGTCTCATTACTTCAAAACATAACTTCGAATTAAAGAAACAGAAGAACTTGAACAACTTTGCTCTGTTGGAAACGTATTACTGCGTTGAAATAAAGTTGATAGTGAGTAGTACTTTTTTTTAACTCCAGGGATCCGAGACGCCGGAGTTAAAATATTACTCAAAATTAAAAAATTCTTCATTATGTATGAGGTTCTTCGTTATGTATGAGGTTCTTCGTTATGTATGAGTTTTCTCGCTTAATGATGTATTAATTTGATATAAGTTTGTTGTTGGCTGCAGGTAACCGCGACGTGGAGGAGGAGCGACTCATGCAGCGCTGGTTTACGCTCGTTAACAAGAAGAACGCGCTCATCAGGCGTCAGGAACAGCTTAGTATATTGTGAGTGTTATTTATTGTCTTGCTTCATTGTATATTGTGAGTGTTATTTATTGTCTTGCTTCATTGTATATTGTGAGTGTTATTTATTGTCTTGCTTCATTGATGTACAAATATTGTTAGGTTATTGTAGCTCTAGCGTCAGGAGCAGCTCAGTATATTGTGAGTATCATTTATTTTCTGGCTTCATAGCTGCACAAATATTGTTTTTGAATTTTTATATTCATTGGTATAACCATACATATATTATTAGTTGATTGTTACCTACATTAGTAATTATTGCCATACAAATATTAATAGTTACTTGTTATATACATTAGTGTAGCCATACAAATATGAATACATAGTGAATTGTTTTTTTATATAAATTAATGCGAGAAATTTATTACGTTTAACCCCAACCGGAGGTGGTACTTAATTTAACCGTGCAATTCATAATATGCTCATAACTTGTTTTAAATGTTGAATGTGTGAATTGAGCGAATGTGTTTCTTATCAATGCTGATGTTCAAATTTTAATATCCGGGTCATTGTTTGAAATATGGTGCTCCTCTGTAACTATTATATATGTCTGGATTTTTGTGAAGAATATTTGTTGGCGTTTATTATTGTTTATTCATAAGAATCCGTTTGTTATTCAATATTTATTTGGATAATTTTAAGTGTTAATTGCGCCAAAAATTCTGAGTATCTTAAGTGTTAGTTGCTCCAAAACTATTGAGTATCTTAAGTTTTAATAGTGCCAAAAATACTGAGTATCTTAAGTGTTAATTGCGCCAAAAATATTATCCTAGGATTTTTAAGCTACAACATCGAGACACATATAATTCGATGCGCAAGGACCATATCTAAAATGGAGTAGCCGGTTTTTTGAATTTATCATTTTTGTGGGCGTGAGGGCATTTTTCGTAAATTTTTCGTAAATTTTTCGATTTTACCCCCCGCCACCTCCCTTTTTACAGAATAAAATCCAAACTATAACGAAATTATAAAAACGCGCTACTACAGATGTAGATATTTTTTTGCGAATCGAACGGTACTTTATATCTCTCATTGCTGTAGCTTCTAAACTCTAGGAGGAAATATGTTTGCAGTGACAATAAGTGTGAAAGTTCAATAGAGCGCAACAAAGTCCCGAGCGCCTCAAAATAGGCATTCAAGGTGGCAAGGATACTAGACTAGACATTACTGGAGCTGAAATTCAGTCAATTATGGTGGGAACGACTGCATGAGCACCATCCTGCCTGACAGCTGCCGGGTAACTAAGGAGCAGCGTCTCCATACCGTCAATTTATGTGCTCAGCAGCGAATTTCCTCCTATCTTAAACGTGAAAGATCTCCGCCACCCCTAACCATTTCGCAATCGGTCGTGAACGCATAAATCAACGCACAGAGATGGTTTTGGTACCGTTGGATAGGTCAGAATGTCAGCTTTAAGATGAGACTAAAGACCGGAAAAGCCAAAATCCAAAATTTTTGGCCAGATGCTCCCCTTAAGTGTTAATTGCGCCAAGAATTTTTAGTTGAACTACTCGCCACGTAAGCTAAATGAAAAATTAATAGAGAGTTCCTGATGAAATATTTTCTTGCAAATCGTCCAGGGAGAAGGAGAGTAACCTGGAGAGACGCTTTGCGCTGCTCAACAGGGAGCTGCGCGCCATCATCAGCATCGATGGTGAGTTCTATCATCATCATTATTATTATTACTATTCATTTAACGATTACATTTGACGTCGAAACTTATTCACGTGTGCCCTGATGTCTCTATATTTGGGAATTCCTGGATACTCGCTTCTTTGTATGTCCTGCAGTGCTTAGAGAACACGCCGAGTTTTGAGTTTTGCTTAGATTTTTGACTGGAAATGATGTGTCTTCGCAATTAAATTACTTGGCGCTTACCAAGCACATAAGTTCGATCATGTGTCGTTTGATTTCGTGTCTGTTTAACTAGCGGCACTAAATCGAGCAGTGAAATAATTATATTATCTCTTACATTGATTGATAAAATAATATATTGCGTTATTCGTTAATCAGAATGAATTTTATTGTTCTCCAATATTCTATACAACATTATTATGCCTCCGCTAACCATCGCTCAAAAGCAACGGGTAGCGTACAATATCGTACTGGATGATAAATAGAGCTAAATTTAAGAATGTTTCCCTGCATCTGACAATGCATTATCATTCGTTCCTAGATGAGAAATTTCTTTTAAATTGAATTTGAGAAAAATCGTTGACGGTATGAACGGCCGTGTTGTGTAAGCTGCATTAAGTGAGGTTTCTTAGCGACATTTTATAGCAAGCATCGAACAACGTTGCTGCTGTACATCGTGCTGACTGAACTGTTATGTCCATTACTTTGTTGCAGACTTTTACGCAATATTGCGCTACACATGATGGACAAAAACGTTACATTTTATTATTAATCTATAACCATCATCTTATATTATCACATTTAGATTTCATCAAATACATCGCGTGTTCAAATAAGATGAAACTAACTACAACATTTTTCATTTTACTGAAATGATGATTGCATTACTGTTTCTCGGTGGAGCTCTTGATATGGCAGAGTGTGTGTGGTGCAGGATTGCTTCTCCAGCGGGGCCTAAGAGAACCAAGGTGCCGGCGAGCGTAAGCTGCTTATGGAGCTTTGCTGTGTCTCATGTTTATATCATTGCTTTCTGTATCGCGTAGCTCTGATACGCGCGTGTTGCGTACCTTACACCTCGTGTGTCATGTTCATACTGAACCGTTCTATGACACGCGTAGCTCAGGTACGCGCGTGTTGCGTAGCTTGCAACTCGTGTGTCATGTTCATACCGAACCGTTCTATGTATCGCGTAGCTCTGATACGCGCGTGTGTCACTTCAGAACTGCTGTCGTTTATAAAAAATGGCTATGCCAGCTGACATTATTCGTGTCTTTTCCAATGTAATCTCCATAAAGTCGTGTTGACGTTACACTAAGACTTTGAATTACTGTTGTTCATATTCAGTTTTTTCGACCTTCAATTAATTTTTGAAATTAGAGCTGGTAAAGTTTTCTTGATAGATAGCAATCATCATGCTCGCTCGTGCAAACTATTCTTAATCTTCTCAGTATCGAATTACAAGATGCAACATGATAAATAAGGCCTGAAGTATTGATGTTTCCTTACATTCACTTGCCTTTGTGTCTCTGATGAAAGAAGAAGGGCTTGCACGATTCGCGATCGCTCACTTCAGAACTATATACGCGGTCTATACTTTAAATATATAATATATAAATATAAACCTTGACTATACGCACACGGTCAAGGTTTGCGTTACGAACATTATATCCATGCCGTAACAACCACTTCCATATCCATGCAGTAACTTAACGAATAGTTACTTTTGTGTTCAATTTGTCTTGTTATGACTTCCTCATATTACCATCCTCAAAGAAGATAAGGATTTATCGAAGAATGTATAAATATTTCATTATTTTGAATTTCTACAAATTTGAACTTGAGAATAAATATGAATATCTCGGAGAAAAAGAATGGCATTTGAACGACGTTTAGTATTTGATGGATGGAATTTTTTAAAAGTATAAACAGATTCTTTAAACATTCAATTTATAATGGACGGTACAACGTTGCAGTGATGTGTTGGCTGCTCTCGAGATTCAACTTCATAGCCACGATCTCAAAGCAACATTGAATAAATAAATATAAAACAGTTTTAAAAACCACGTTTTTCTGGTTGTTACAAAACTAAAAACAATGAAATAAAACAAATAAAAAAAATTAAAAACCACGTTTTCTTAACGGACAAAAAATAAACATTAACTTTTTCAGTGAGTTGTCCTAAATTTTATTCTTGACCTAAAATGAAGTCTAAAGTTTATTTTTTCAAATCTCATACTGAGAAAACACAAAAAACGTGGGGCGGACTCTGTGAAGATCTAAATATCATATATTTTGAGAAGCTAAAGATTAAGTATTATAATGAATAGAACTTGGGTAATGGATGTGTCTTAAAGCCCGCCCAACGATTTTTTTGTGTTTTGTCAGCATAAGATTTTAAAAATAAACTTTAGACTTCATTTTAGGTCAAGAATAAAATTTAAAACTAGTCACTGAAAAAGTTGATGTTTCTTTTTTGTCCGTTAAGAAAACGTGATTTTTAAAAGTTTTTTATTTGTTTTATTTCATTCGTTTTAGTTTTTAACCACCAGAAAAACGTGGTTTTCAAAATGTTGTTTTTTATATTTATTTATTTTCTAATTTTTAGTTCAATAACTTTTAATAATTAAAACAAATTCATCTGAAATTATTCTCTATAAATTAAAGAATAATGTATAGACAGTTCGAAAGTTCAAATCGTTTTCGAGGGTTGGCAACTCTGGTTGTTCGACGAAAAAAAACTCAATTCCCAACCGTGAATTTTTTTCTCTCCATACAAAAGTCAGTTAATTAATTTAACGATTTTAATTATAAACTTAATTATTCTGATAATCAAATCTTGAATTGTTAGGCATCATAAGCATGCATGCCAAATTTCAAGTTTCTATAGGATCTTCAGAAGTGCTCTAAATTAAGGTTTGAATTTTTGATGACAGACAGACAGACAGACAAGCGAAAAGAAGAAAAACGTGGTAAAAGTAATTTATTTCAAACTCCATGTAATGGTTATCGGAAATGTAATGAAAAGAAATGAATTATTTTATAAGGAAATTTATGCTAATGTGCAACATTTGTCCCGAATATAAGTGGCCTTGGATTAAAACGTTAGAGATTACAGTAGTAAAATTTTCTACTATGACCTTCAGACTAAATTGGCTGCAAATCGACATTGTTTTAATGTTGAATCTAAGATTATTTTCTTCGACGTCAATTTATGATCTAATTCTTGTTCAAAACTGAATGCTAATATCAACTGAATGAAGTTGTAATCAACTAAGTTTCAATGTCAAATGCCTCTACACTCCCATTGGTGACGTTCATATTGAACAGCTTCACGTATCTCGTAGCTATAATGCACGTGACTTACCTCTTACCTCGGAACTTCTCTTGGTGACGTACACCGAGCCGATTGTGTGAAGCAGACTGCGAGAAGCTGCAAGTTGAACGCATATAGAAGCCTTGTGAGTGTTGCGGTGCGTGACTATACCAGCAGGCTTCATTCTTTGCTGTTCTACTGCGTGGCAGTATTTCAGTGAAAAAATTCATTCGCGTTTTTAGTTCTGTCAAACGCTCTCGCCCATTTTCCGATCATTATAAATTCAAATAATGCATCTTCTTATTCGTGAAGGAGATTGATATCTTAAATTTATTAATCATCTTCATTCTTTAACGTTATTTTCATTCATGATTTGCCGCTCAATGTATAAATCTTTAATTATAACGATTTCAAATTTGCTTTGGCAAAGTCCAAGTACCAAAAATGTTCTTATTAACTTTTAATTTGTAAAATTAAGTCCATTGTCCTGCGCTTGTTTGCATCTAACGTACTCATTTTTATCATGACACGTGAAGGTTACACTTGAAGGTTACCACGCATGCGCGTGGCTACTGCTGCATGCTCATGCGCAAGGAGTGCATGCGTGCCCGGAGGTGCGCTTGACCCAGCATTACGGACCTAAGAAGATTGGGTAATCCTTCTCGCCGCGGATTTGCTCGGGTCGTCAATCCGTTGGAAGAGGATCTCGCAGAATCCAAAGAAGATTCGACTTTCCGCCATCTCCGAGAGCTTCTCAGCGCACCCATCTTCCCGTAGCTTTAGTATTGCACTGTGCGGCGAAGTCATCGTTTTTGACTCAATCGATCCCACGTCACATAAAATTACGATCGGATCTTTGCCATGTGAGGTCTCGAATTCGCGTTTCCCAAGCTCTTGGCAATGATCGATCGTTACCTTCCTATCACCGAGAAGAGATCGCTGAGCGCCTGGGTAGGGGCTTGAGCGGCCAGAGAGGCTTGGCGACTCGAGCCAACCCGCTTTGCAACTCTAAACTTCTTTACTCAAATTTAATGCTGTTTCAGTCGCTCCAAATCTGGGATCATGGTAGTCTTATTAAAATTTATCTGCTCAAGGACTTTTTGGTTGTGGAGGCTTCGGTGAGACGTGGCAGGCTCTCGAGGCGAAGCTGCTGCAGACGGCGACGCAGAAGGCTGCGTAGAGGATGGATGGTTCTGCCACCGCCTCAGACCCAGACGCGCGTATCACAACCATAACTCAAAGGGCGTCCCGGGGCGCAGCCTTGTATTTTGGGTCCTAGCACCGGTGCAGTTCAAGTCCTCCTCTGACGAGGCCCAATTGGTGAATTGTGGTTTCTTATGACGTCTGTTATGTTTGAGTAAGTCGGAAATACCATGAGTGAAAGGTACAAAGTCAAACGTGAATTTTGAGATGTCAGTTTTGAAAGATTCGAGTCATTTAAATCTGTAAGTCTGACAAATGTTAAGGTTGTTACATAACGTGTCAAGTGTACTTAGTTTCTTTGAAGTGTTGAAGTGATTACTATGGAGTACATGTACCGAGTACATGCACAGAGCATTGCATTATCATATTTGGTTTGCATCATCTGGTGTGTCATGTGTAAAGTGAAAGCCCGTGCAACCTGTAGCTATCGTCTGTAGAGAGAGCATATAACGCACACGTGAAGTTTTTATGTAAGGTGCAAAGTGCAGCGTTAAGTGTACACATGAAGAACTCATGACGTTATCAGCGGCAGCATCAAACGAAATCAGCATCAAAGTGTGAGTTGAAATCGCTACTCAAACGGTAAATCACTCTTTTTAATATATACCATGATAATTATTGTTCTCGTATGAATAACACGTTATCGCTGGATTAAAGTTAACTCATGCATGCCTCGAATTTCCCGAGCTAACTATGTTCTGAATATAGTTCAGCAATTATATATTGTTTTATTAAGCTTAGCGAACTCTATGAAATTTGGTGGAATTCTCACCATGCATAAATTTTCTGCTGACGACCGTCTCTCACTGAGCATGAGAAGCGAAGTTTTCATTCCACGAGGCTTTCATTACAATTCGCGGAGGGAATGAACTGATCTTGCTCACATTTTATAGACCGACGCGTATTAATCCAATATACCCTTCGATTTTATTTGAAAAATTTATTGCTGGACAATCAGACTCCAGAGGATTGCGCTCAGGGATTGAGCTTAGGAATTTAGAGCGTGAGAGCGGAACTATTCAGAATAACCCAAAACTTGATGACGCCGTGTTTGTGCATGGTTATAAATACTTAGTGCAGGCTTGCAATTTAGTTTGGATCGCGGACCTTGATTTTTAAATAATCAAACGCACTTAGCAACTCAAATCGTATGTAGTGTCAAGTACTTTACAGACCGCAGACTGCAGTTCGCTTCGAATAATAATAAAAATAAATAGTACGAGTGTGAAAGCTCAGTCAATGAGGTAACTTTATAGTTACCTCATGTAACAAAAGTTACATGAGGTAACTTTTTTAAGGAATAGAAAATTCCATTTGGCTTTGTAAATAATGTTGTACTTGAGCTAATATTCCGACCGAGACAATTGCATATTCGAGCATGAATTATAAACACAGCAGGTTAATATGCAGAATTTCAATGCATCGTTGAAATAGTCCGGGGCAAAATAAAGCTTGTTGGCGCTGACATGGTGCAATCTGTGCTCGGGTCACACCCGGCCTGGCGCTGGTAAAATACACTCCGCAACACCGGCTTAGTTTCGGCCAATCTAGGATCGTACGAGCTTAGCGTTGCCCTCTACAGCTCTGTATCCCCAACCTGCATCGTGTCGTGTGGTGGTGCCCCTAAAATGTGGTGTTGGGCCTATGCCTATGTGTTACTCTTTACCTATACATATTTTACCAAATGTGAAGATGTAATGCCAATGCCTGGAAAGATGTGATAGTGTAATGCCAGTGCCTGGAATGATGTGATAGTGTAATGTCAATGCCTGGAATGATGTGATAGTGTAATGCCAATGCCTGGAATGATGTGATAGTGTAATGCCAATGCCTGGAATGATGTGATAGTGTAATGCCAATGCCTAGAATGATGCAAAAGCGATAGAACTCCTGATACTTTTAATTGAAAAGCGAGGGTTTTGCTTGCCGTAGTTTTAAACTGGCTCTGATATGCGATTGCGCGTCTTACAACTGTAACTTTTTACGACGTTATTACTTAATATTGATAATATGTTTCAGTTATTATATGTGTAATTTGCTCGTGTTTTTAGCTAGCCCTCTGCTAATGAAACATTCAATCAAAAATAAAACGAAGCCCTCTTTATCCCTGCAGTTTTCAGTCAGGTGATCGCTTTGGTCCTTCCTCTAGCCACAGTGAAACCAAGGGTTATGAAATATCCTTATTGGCGCGTATGAACACTGAAAATGTACGGAGCTGAGACTAGTCGTGAGACTTGAGACTTGCACCGGGGCTACTACTGAGAACAAATCCCGGTCTTCTACTGAAACTCCTGAAACAACAGATATGCGAAATAAATACCTAGCAGAGAATTCAGTTGACATTAATACCGCATTGTTCAATCCCCATAACACCACTACAAATATTCGCATCTAGAAGCTGCTTCTTTCTTTGGGTTATTTCTCGTCCATGTCGCCACTAAAGAGAATGTTCCCTCAAAAAATTCTGTTCCGCCAATAGCCATCCACCTGTATAATATATATATTTGCTTTAATTATTTTATCGTATCTACGCACATACGAAGAAATGATGCTACCGAACTCGTGCGATAATATGTTTTATTTCACTATTTCCACTGCTTCTTTTGGTGAACTTCAGAAGAATATTTTTGGCAAGATATTAAATTCTAGCGCACAAGATGAAGCGTCTCAATTATACTTATTTGAATTATAATTCTGACGATATCGCTTGTCGATTAGATTGTGCATGAAGCAAATTTAGTTTAGCTTTAAAGTTTTCAATACATGACCAAAACTGAAATTATTATGGAAGCTGATTTGAATGATATTTTGAATTTCTGCCTGTAATTTTTTAGATGTCAGAAATTGTTGATTCCGTGTCAGTACGCCAATTAGGTGCATGTAAATTAAACGTTCGATGCCTACCTGCACGAGTTTGGCATTTCAGGCGTTAGCATCGAATTCTCGTGCATATGAACTGCAAAATCGCTTCTGTAAAGCCATGCGAGCCGCAGGCTTAGCCTCCCAATAGCCAAGACTCAGTGGGCGCAATCCTGCAATATCCTGGATTGCCGACGACCTTTTTATGCGTGCTCATAACCGTCAATTTTACGCGCATCGAAATTTCGTGCGTTGAGATCAACCTGTTCTCTCATCTGCGGAGAGTCAATTTACGAGTTAATGTGTACAGATTCAATAAACTCATGGAAACCTACCGAATGAGCCCACCCAGATTTTTTGAGGAACGAAGATTTTGGGAAAAATGTGTATGTGATCGTGTATTGAGCGATGAGGGCTCTGCATGCGGGCGAGCCGACAAACAACGGTCGAGCCGTGATCTAATCCCGCGGCAAATCTTCAGGGCTTAATATCTGCCCAATATCCATTAGCCGCGCCAATCGCCGGCAAAAACAAGCCAATCTATTGAGATACAATTTCTGGGTCCCATGCTCGAACAAAGGCCGATGTATTCGACGTTTGTAGATGCTTCCTATCTCGCTATTGTGTACACAACTGAATACATTTATTTTATTAAATGTAGAGCGTTGCTCATCCTTGTCTATACGGATTGAAGTATAGTTTATTTTACTAGCCACACATTTTAAAATAAACCTAGTCTACATTCAAAACAATATTATCGAAAATGTCTTTATGGTACAAAATATTCAAAGCATCCGAACCATGCATGCAGGCACTCCCCAATGATATCAGAATGGCAACTCGTCCAATGAATATTCTAGCGCAAAACATTTTATTGGGGTTTCGTTCTTGGCCCCAATTAAGTGAAATAAGTCTAGCTTTTGAAGAATTCCGCGACACACTATTTGCTATAAATGATTTTAGTTTTTAAATTGATTCTTCAGTAGCAGAGCGCACGTCCTTTCGGATGGCCATTTTTTGTTCGAGTACTGCATTTTGTTTGCATGAATTTTTGCTTTGTTTCGGAATCAGGTTGCAGATCATGTTAATCAAAAAAGGAAACTATATTCAGAGATGGCATTTTGAAAACAGTAGGTGTCTCAAATTAACTATTTACTGGTTATACAATTTTTTTGAACGATTTGAGTGTCCTGAACTAGCGACATGCTTTGCCGTGTGTTTTATAATTTTTACAATTTCACGATATAATTTGTGAGTTATATTTTGTGAGAACACTATTTTCAAAATTACCTGACGTTTTAAGCAAGATCTTAGCTAAATGCATTCTACTGTTCATTTAGAGGTTGCTGTAATTTTTGCCGCTGCTGTGAGGATTTGATTTGAATATTCTTCGCAGAACGTGTCATGTTATTTTACCTTGTCGGTGCAGGTTGACGCGTTTCAACGAAGCAACTTTGTTTGCTGCTCCGCTAGACCATAACCTTCTTAGCGAACTTTTTGCACACCTTGTCTGAAGTTGTGCACACCAGACGAGTGAACTGTGACGAGCGCCCACAGCCTTTACGCGTGCCTCTCATTATTTTGCTGGCAATTAATTTTATCGCTAGTTGCTTTAACTTTATTGTGTACATATTAGGACCTGAAAATTAGCTTAAATGTAATGTTGGAGTATTGTCGTGTATATGTAAAAGTCAGCCGATGTTGCCTCACATTATACATCCTGTGTTCCGATGTTACCACACATTTCACAGTCTGTGTTCCGATGTTGCCTTACATTTCCGATGTTACCCCACATTTTACAGTCAGCGTTCCGATGTTGCCTCACATTTCACAGTCAACGTTCCGATTTTACCCCACATTTTACAGTCAGCGTTCCGATGTTGCCTCACATTTCACAGTCAGCGTTCCGATGTTACCCCACATTTTACAGTCAGCGTTCCGATGTTATCCCACATTTTACAGTCAGCGTTCCGATGTTGCCACACATTTCACAGTCAGCGTTCCGATGTTACCCCACATTTTACAGTCAGCGTTCCGATGTTATCCCACATTTTACAGTCAGCGTTCCGATGTTGCCACACATTTCACAGTCAGCGTTCCGATGTTACCCCACATTTT